GGAGGGTGGAGGAACAGTGCAAGAGAGGAAGACCCTTGATGAGATGGATCAATTCAGTGACTAGGGTAATGGGTGTGTTAGAGACAATAAGGTTGGCTTCGGATAGAGCAGGGTTTAGGGCTCTTGTACACAGGGTCTGTATGAGTTGCAAGCGACTTGAAGGCACATAACAACAACAGCCTCCTTTCTGACAAAAAATGACCAATTACCTCTTCTTTATTTTCCAACTTACCTCCTATATCACCAGCCATTTCTTTTTGATCTTTGCCAGCTTCTTTTCCTCTGCTGTTCACATAAATAATGGGCTTCTGCTGAGCTTTTAGATTCTCTTTTTACTTTATTGTCTTTTCCTGGGTGAGTTCATAATTTAACCACCCTATCTATATAGTGATGATATCTATAGGTATGCAGAGGTTGGGTTTCATATTTTAGCACTGTCCACCTACTGTCCACCAGATAGCCTCACTTTGGATGCCCTGCAGCTCTATGCACCTCCTTTGTGGTCCCTGCCTCCCATTCAGCTTGCTTTGTGCCTGTGCTCCATATGTGGGATCCATATAACCACTTGCTCAAGCCTAAATCCTTGACATGTTCATCTTTTTTCCCTCAGTTCACTTACACGTTTATCTGGTCTTTTCTTTCTCCAAATAGTCCACTTTTCTCCATCCCCATTGTCCTGCTCGAAAGTTAGTCAATCTCTATATTGTAACATGCTGATTATTTCTCTCATTTTTGTCCCCTTTAGTTACTGTAACTGTGCCCAGCCTTTTCTAAACTCATCTTCTCTCTCTGAACAGATTCTTGTGGCACTTTTTTTTAGGGTGGATTCCATGGATGTCTCTCAAATCAAAGTGTAATGCCTTCCATCCACCCCCCACCAACCCCCCGGTAACTTGTATTTTTAATTTCTGGAACTTGTTGTGGACCAAAGATGTAAATAATGAGTACTCATGGAATTACTACAAAACTGTCACAGTAAAATGTTTATGATTTACAGATAATCACACTTGAGATGCATATTTTTTACCAAGGAATCTTTTGGTTTATGTTGTGAAGGAACTGGGAACTCTAAACAGAGCATTCCTACTACAACCAAAACCCAACCCAACTCACTGCTATTAAGGTGACTCAATTCACTGTGACCACAGAGGATTGAGCAGAATTGCCTCTCAGGGTTTCCAAGGTCATACATAATCTTTACGTAAGCAGATGGCCACGTCTTTCTGTCTTTCTCGAAGAGTCTCAGCAGGGTGAGATGAACAGCTGGCTGGCCTTTCAGTTAGCAGTCAAGGGATTAAACACTGTATATCCCCAGGGCTCCGGCTTCAGTTGTGATGTACCATCAAGCTGGAAATGACCCACAGTTGATTCTCCAGTGGGTTTTCAGAAGCAATAAATTTCATTGGAGGAGACTGTTTATCTTTCTCCCTTGGAGCAGTTAGTGGATTCAAACCATGTACCTTTGTGTTGGCAGCACAATTTCTTACCCTGAGCCATGGCAATTCCATGCACAATGGAACATAATGCTGCCTTCTTATGATTAGTTGGAGATTGGACCACTGTGATCCATAGGGGTTTTAATTGGTTGGTTTTTCAAAAATCAGCAGGTCTTTCTTTCTGATCTTAGTCTGAAAGTTCTACTGAAACTGTTCCACATCACAGCAACACCAAAGTCTCCACTGACAGATGGGTAGTAGCTATGTATGAGGTTCATCGGCTGGGATTCTAGTCCAGCTGGGACTCTAATCCAGGTTGGCTACATGTTGATGTTGCCGTTAGCTGCATCGAGTTCACTATATCTGGTATAACTCATCGGAACCACTTGAACAACAGATCAAAATTCTGCCCTATCCTGTGCCAGCCTCACAACCTCTGCCATACTTCTGCTCATTATTGCAGTCACTGTGCCAAGCCGTCCTGTTGAAGGTCTTCTTCTCTTTCACTGGCCTTCTACTTTGACAAGTATGATAACTTTTTCTAAGGTCTGGAAACTCCTGACAACATACCCAAAGTATGGCTGACCACATGGAAGGTGAGAACGCTATCACTGAATCACCTCTGCCTCCCCTATCAAAAAGTATTCACCACTATATTATTTCTAAGATTTTGAACCTTATAAATAATGATTCCTAAAATGCATACCAGCTTTTTTTTAAGTCAAAGATATTTATATTTATATTTATTTCTTTTTAGATAAAGCACTCATAGAATCACAGATGAAATGTCATGTACAAATCACATTTTTTTCCCTTAAGAAAAAAAACAAACATTCAATAATGAAAAAAGAATCAGTGTTTAGTAAACAAGACAACAGACACTGCTAAGTGTCTAGCCCTGAATCTCCCAAATCAATCTGAAGGATGTTGCATAACATGGGTATGATTTCCCGCCTCGAAAAATGGGCTTCCACAGCTGTAACATGTTTATTTCAGAAGATTGGCAGTGACTGGCTTTGTTGGCATGCTGGGCAGCTGCAGCTGCAGCTGGAGCTTGACCAAGTCAATGGACAGAGAAACACAGTTCCAGGAGCTCTCAGCCGTGTGAGTCACTCATGCTTTCACCAGCCAGACTTCATTGCGACGCCCGTAGGGCTTCATGGGAGGGTCATACCCAGCGCAGAAGTAGAAATCATGCCGGCAGGTGGCTGTGCCCTCCAGGGCAGTATGCAGCTGGGTGGCGTAAGCTACGTAGTCAGCTTCTTTGGCATAACCACCAAACTGACTGAGGAAAGAGACAGAAGGCTGATTAAGAAGATCCCACATTCAAAAAAAAAAAAAAAAGAAGATCCCACATTCAAAGACACAATGGGCATCTTTTTACAAAGCAGCCACACCCCATTTTTATGACAAGGAGCATGCTATTGTGGTGAGATTTAAGATACCCCTGACCTTTCTGAACCTCAGTGTCCTCATGTGTAAACAACAGGGTATGAGTTCTTTTTCATGTAATGTTGTGAGCCTTAAGTGCTGTAACAGGTGGAAAAGCTCTAAGGTAGGACCCGGAACACAGCAGTCACCAAATGTGAGCTTCCCTTTCCTTCCTGAAATCTACGGATGACACCACCAGCTACTGTCCAGCCAATTCTGGTTCAAGGGGACCTTATATGTCAGAGCAGAACTTATTACATAGGGTTTTCAATGGCTGATTTTTCAGAAGCAGATTGCCAGGCCTTTCTTGTGCGGTGTTTCTGGGTAGAACAGACTGTGCTAACTTAGCTATCTCCTTAGACTTGAACTGTACACTGTGCTAACCTGGTTGCCTCCATGGCCATGCCCTCATCCTTCCCTCTAGCTCCTGTCTCCCATCCAGCTTCTTCTCTCTGGCTCTTGGGTGCCAGCAAGGGAGGGAGGAAGGATAAAGGGGAGTTTAGGGTGGAGCTACACAGTCAGCACCTCTGTAGCCTGAAAGTAAAGCCCCACCCCCACAGCAGAGGAGCCCTAACTCAATACAGCGCAGCAAGGACAGACCCGATAATGGGGGGTCCAAGGCAGTCTCAGGAGAGGCTCTTTGGCAAGCATGCCCTCAATAAAGAAAACACTTCTATTAAAGACCTTGTCCTATCTGAGGCATGAAAACATCCTTTGCTGGTAAGAGACTTTTCTTAAATCAAGCTTTTCTCTTGATGGCAGAAGGTGGGAACAGCAAAGAATTAAAGGCTTTTTTGGTAAGATTATTATGACTTTTTTTTTAACATCATCTGCCTACACTTTACAATTCACTCTGTGGCCTTTCCTAAGCATACCATTCTAAATCTAGTTTGCACTAAAATCTTTATCAGAGTCAAATACATCCCCATTTCTAATAAGCTTTATGACTCAAAAGTATGCATTTGCACCAGGTCAAGATCAGGCCAAATGCACTGTTTTCAGCAGGGTTCTCTGAATCATGCTGTGCTCTTTATACAAGGTTAGTCATGCTCAGTGAGCGTCCAGCACATTGATTACAGGGTTACTGATGTGAAAACACCCAGGATTTCATATTTCAGGGACTTGGCAGTTCTAATGTCTAGACAGCAGCTATGGGTCATAGCTCCATACTCTATCATGCTGGAGAAAAGGAGATTCAGTTCTAATACATATATGTTTTAGGGAGCTCTGATGGCCTAGTGGTAAGAAGCTGCACTGCAATCTCATAGGCATGCAATTCAAATCCACCAGCTGATCCTGGGAAGAAGGAGGGTCAGTCTCTTCCCATGTGATTTATTGGCTCTGAAAACACACTGGCAGGTCAGCTATGGGTCAGTTCCAACATGAAGGCACAAAACAAATCTCTCTCTCTTACACACCACACCACACACACACACACACACACGATCCTATGGCAGATGAAATGGAGCCGTAGCATCACTATGGACCAGAAGAGAAGAAAATGGATCAACATATAAATAGGAGGCAGGACTTTTCTGTCAATAAAAGCTTGTAAGACACTGGAATTAGGTGTGAAGCATGTCTTTGGAATGAATATCACCTGTGTGAAGTGTATCAAAGGTTGGATAAGAAGTAGACTGCATACTCTCTGCAGCCCTTTGCAACATTGTGATAACGAACTGTGATCTCTGAAAAGGAATAGTGTTAGTTCTTTAAGCAATAGTTTAAAGAAAAGTCCAAAGGAATGGTCCTTGAGTGTCTTCCTTTGTCAACAAAACAAACTCAAACTCACTGTAGTTGAGTCAGAACTACAGGAATTGACTCACCGTTGACCCTGCAGCTGGTTTCTGAGGGTATAATTGCATGGAAGTTGACTGCCCCTCTTTCTCTCTGCTGGTGGATTAGAATCACTAAAGAAGAATGGCCTTTGAGTTTAGCAATGAAACTTCTTACAGACTAGGCCATCAGAGCTTCCTTCATTGATCTTTCAGGGGCAATATTGCTGGTGGATATCTTAGCTATGTCATTTTCTAGCTTCAAAGTCTAGAGGATAAATTCCTCTAAGCATCAAGTCCTTTGTCTGGTAAATAGGGATGATGACTCTAGCAATCTTCCAAGGCTATTTTAAGGAATAAAGAAAGAAAAGCCAGGCAAAGTGCTTACTTAGCCCTCCATCACCTAGTAAGCTCACAAAAACAAACAAACAAACAAACAAACAAAAAAACCAAAACTATTATTGTTACTTGAAAATTCACTCAGCATAGCATTTCAATTCTCTGAGTCTCAAGGGGAAAGACCAGGATGATTGTCTGAACCCAGGAAGAAAATGAAATCAGTTGCCAGTTGATTTGACTCCAACTCATGCAGTCAAATACATTTAAGAGTACTGGAGTAGGACTATGCTCCGCTGTTTTCCACGGCCTAATTTTTCGAGGTTGATGACCGGTTCTTTCTTCCAAGTCACCTCTAAGTGGACTTGAACCTTCAATCCTTCAGTTAATAGTCAAACATGCTAACCATTTACATCACCCTCACCTTCTCAATTAGGCTGACTCTCAGAACTCTATTTAATACTGTGACCCAATACCAACCCACTCACTCCTTATCCCCATTCCTGAACGTCTTACTTTGCTCTACTTTTTCTTCAAATAGCACTTATCACTTTCTGGTATACTACATAATTGGCCTGTGTTTATTGTTTATTGTTTATGGTCTGTGCCTCCTGAAAGACTATACGTTCCAGGAGGATAAGGATATTTATCACTCTTTTCCACTGGTATCCTGATCACATGGCCCCTCTTAACAACATGCCCAAAGTATATCAGATGGGGCTTCAGAACCCTTGCCTCCAAGAAGTAGCCTGGTTTCACACCCTCCAGGACAAACCTGTTTGTTCCTTTAGCAGTCCATGGTATTTTCAATACTCTTCTCCAACACCACAGCTTAAAGGCATTAATTCCCTTCTATCATCCCTGGTCATTGTCCAGCTCTCTGACACATAGCAAGTAATTGCAAAGACCATGGCCTGTATCAGGCACACCTCAGTCTCCAGACTGACATTGTTGCTCTTCAGTTACTTTGGAGAGGTTTTTAACAGCAAACTTTCCCAATGCAATACATCTTTTAATTTCCTGGCTGCTGGTGCCAAGAGTGTTGATGGTGGAGCCAAGCAAACTAAAGCTGTGAACAATCCCAATCTCTTCACTATCTATGTGATGCTGACAATCGGCCTAGTGGTGAGAATATAATTAGAAAATTAATTAATAGGTAATAAACACTAAGATGGCTTAAAACAGAATGAATGTGTATGATATAGTGAGCATTGTAATTAATGTTATGGAACAAAATATACATGAATGTTTGAAAAGACAGTATAGTTTGTAAACTTTTACTTAAATCACATTTTTTTTTTAAAAAAAGGATAATGAGAAGGAGTTATTGAGCCAATTTGATTCACAGCCACTATACAGGACAAAGTAGAACCTGCTAAGCTTTTGTTTCAGAGCTAAGAGCATAGCTCTGTGACCCTCCCCCAGGTTAAATAAAACAAGACAATATTTGTGACGTGCTTGAATGCTATTTCATTAATTTCATTTTTTGTTCATGGAAAGGTAGAGAGAATCCCAGCAGAGTGTGATATGGAGAGTGTAATAATTTGGAGAGTCCTAAACAAACAATCTGAAAACATACTCAACTTCTTGTATTTATTCCCAGGTTGATGACACAAATTTTTCTATTGCTTCATTATGAAAGCATTCTACTAGAAAACAAACAAAGCTGGGTGGAAGGATGGGGTTTGTGAGGTTTTGAAAACAGATACATGTGCTCTTCTTTACTGCCAATTGAGTAACCCTGTCCTAAATCACACAACCCCACAGACAGGCAAGAAACCCAAATTCCACCAGGCACACAGCCCTGGTCTATGAAGTCGGCTTGTGGTCATAGACAAAACACCTCCTTTCTCCTCACCTCAGCTTCCAATCTGTACACCAAAGTTAATAAGGTGGTATCCACAACTCTGCAGAACCACAAACATGTTAGAGTGTGAATTAATGCTTACAATGCACTTTGGACTCCTAAGAGTAAAACAAAATCAAGAAGTATGTACACTATTTTTTTTCTTGTTGTGTACCACTGAACAGGATCTGACTGGCACAGGAGGAGATTGACCCTCCGTCTCCAAGGGAACATCTGGTGGATTCAAACAGCGCACCTCTGGGATTGCAGCACAGCTTCTTGCCACTCAGCCACCAGAGCTCCCCCATATACACTATTTTTGTAAGCCTGTTAGTAAGTCTGAGGAGCCTTGTTGATGCAGTTGGTGGAGTGCTCAGCTACTAACTGAAAAGGAAGTGACGAGCCCACCAGTCTCTTCATGGGAGAATGATGTGGCAGTTTGCTTCTGTAAAGACTTACAGCCTTAGGGCAGGTCTACTCTGTCCTCTAGGATTGCTATGCATTGGGATTAACCTGATTGCAGCTTGGGTTTGTTGTTGTCAATAAGTCTGTATCTATATTTTCCAAAGACTTTCTCTTCCAAGGAACTGAATTTCATCTCACTCAGTGTCAGAGAGGAGCTTCTGGATAGAGAATGTGGTTGCCATGGGAACTGAGGGATGACACCCATGGCCTGGATTCTGGAAATACAAAGAAAGCAGACTATATAAAGGGTTGGGAGAATCAGAAAGGGTTGGAGAAAAATGTAGGCTTTTGGTCTGAGGAGAAAAAGATATAACCTGTTACAGTATTTTCAGGGAATATCTATCGACATGCTGTGAGAAAGAATGAGAAAATAGAATGAGCTTGATCATCTAAGTGTTTTTGCAACTTTAATGAGTCAATATATAAATCTGTGGACTGTATGTGAGTACTGTGCTGGGCAAAAGAAGTATATGAGTAGGAACTGGAAGCCTCATCTGAACAAGAAAAGAACTTGCAGATTAAGGTATTCCATTCACTCAGGTCAAAGCAATGCTTATTGAGTTGAACATTAGCAAGCACTATGTCAGACAATACAAGTGTTATAAAGACGATAAAGATGCCTTTCTATTTGCTTTCCAGTTTCTACTTTGATTCACAGTGACTACACGTGAGAGATTACAATCACCTCATTCGGTTTCCTGGGCTGCCATCTTTACCACAGCAGATTACTAGGTCTTTTCTTCCACAAAGTTACCAGATGAGTTCAAACCACCAGTGCTTACCCCGTGTACTACCTCAGATAGTCTAAATATAATGGTCAAACAGAATTATATATAAAAATTAAGCAAAGAAGAAGAAAACTCTAGCTGGAAAAGACAACGCTTTGTGGGCAGGGAAGAGAGAAAGACTGATTCTGAAGGGGAATGGAAGGTGTGATGGAGGATGTAGATGTGATATCGCACTGTCATTTATTGAGCACCTCTTCTGGGTGCTGGTGGCAGAGAAGGAAGTGATAGAACAAAAATCTTCATGAAGCTTTCAATAGGCAGAGAAGAAGGAGGGGGCGGAGGGGCGCTGGATGCGTGAGGAAGGGCAGAGAAGGGAATGCTGGGAGGTGGTGAGCAGCTCTGAGGCCTAGGACAGTTGAAGTGAGCTCTTGTTGTAGAGGGCAGTGAGGTCCACAATGAGGCTTGACAACCTGGCTGAACATCCAGGGACCAAAAGTTTACTTACTACCCTCCTCAAAGGAATGGAGTGTTTTATTACTAACTTGGACTTTGACCCAAACGCTAATATATGACTTGGTTTGCTGATTTCTGCTGAAAGCCGGGAGGGAGCCTAAGCTCTAACCTAACCTGACTTTGGAGAATAAGAGAGAGAACAATGTAAATTTTGGCTACTGATTAAAGGGGAAGAGAATTCTACTGTCTCTTATGAATAATAAAAATATCTTTGATAGCGATTGTTTAGGAAGGTATTGCCATTTCCCTCATATCACTCTATTCATCTAAAACGTACTGGTAATTAATTAATACTGCTTTGTGGACATCCTTTCACAAGGTCATTTTAAAAAAAAGGAAGACTAAACTAAAGATGCAAGGCTTTCATTTTAGAATGCTGTCTTCTAATGCAGTCACTGTGTATATGTGAAACTGCACTTCATTTTCTACCACTGCATTGGTGCTGCCTTCCACAGAATCAGAAAAAAAGCACCAGGTCCCATGTGATGCTTCCATGTGCACATATGACTGTGCAGTGACACCCAGTGGCCAGCTGAAGTGCCTACTGCTATGTCAGGACCATATGTTGATACAAAAAAAACATTTAGGGAGCCATGCTGGACACTGTATTAAGTACTTTAATCTGTTTAGATTTCAGAGAATTCAAGGAAATTGCCACAGACAGCTTTAATAGTCATTACTTATTCTAATATCTATTCCCCACATAAGGAACCAGGTTTCCTCAAGAAAAATGGCTAATTCCAGTTCTAGGAAAAGACAGATCAAGTTGTGCTTGAAACACTGTGTTGTACCAGAAAGCAAAGAAGCTACTAAAGGCTGACAGAGTGTTGTCAAAGCCTTGAACAGGCTTCTGCTGGCAAAAGATGGGCAATTTGGACATTAATAATAAATGACAAATATTGAGGCACATGCAATATGTTTAAATCTGTATACTTATAATGATAGTTGAAAAATCAGAGCTCTAAAAACTGGGAGCACTAGTGCATGGTTTGTAGGGAACTGTGATGTCTCCCTGCCAGCAGGGAGAGAGATGGGCAGTCTCTTCCCATGTAATTTACAGCCTCTGAAAACCCACTGAAGTGTCAGCTATAAGTTGGTTCTGACTTGATGGCAATGAGGTTGAGATTTCACATATTGTTCACTACAGATTAGTAAGTAAACAGAAATTAAGCCCCTGCTTATCATGTTTACTGGGTACTCTGTTCTTGTCAGGGATTGTAAACTTAAAAGAGGCTTTGATTTTGCGAAATTGCTCACCACAGATTAGTAAGTAAACACAAGTTAAGCCCCTGCTTATCTTGCTTACTGCAAAAGGCTTTGATTCTGCAGAAAGATGCTGTGGGGTTGTAGAGAGGCCAATGCTGGCCATACCTGGAAGTGGAATCTTTGATGCGGTAAAAATATGAGAAATTGTTCACTACAGATTAGTCAATAAGCACAAGTAAACCCATGCTTACTTTACTTACTGGTTAATCTGACACTGTCCAAGACATAGGAAAGGGAATGGAAAAGCAGAAGTGGGGCTAAAGTAAGGTAATACGCAGGTGTCAAAGGAGCAAAATGTAAGGAAGTGCTTCCTCTCAGCCTGCCTGCACTTGGATGAGCATGAAGTGAGCACTCCCCTAACTCTTGCACCTCACTCCCTGCCACACAAAAGGACTTTCTTTAGTTATAATTTGCCTCCTCAGCAGCTGCTACAGTGAAGGCTGGAGTATCTGAATAAGGACTGGAGAAAGAAGGACAGGCTGGAGGCCCCAGTGCTTGCTACCCAGGTGCACTCCGCTCCTCTAGGGGCCCCTGCAGTCGGCTGACTGCCCATCAGTTTGACTGTAAGGGCAGACAAGCTCATGCTTTCAGAATTAGAGTATCTCCCGGGAAAAGTGCTCTCAGTCTCAGGTGCAAGGCTGGAGCAAAGCCTTTGAAGGCCTCTGGGAGCAGATTTTGCCCAGTGCAGGATTACGCGTGCGTTTCTTTTTTGTGAGGGTTGCTTTAGAGTGAGTCAAACTCTTAACTTACAGTTTTTACTAGTGAAGCTTCTGATTTCCCTCATTATGTGATTCATTGCCTGCCACATAGTAGGTTGTTTTTTTATTCCTCCCTCCTCCCCCCACAGTAGGTTTTAATCAAGGGAGAGTCATTAATTATTTAAGTAGACTTGGATTTTGCATAGATGAGATTCTGAACCAAAAGATAAAGCTGTTTAACATATGCACTTGTTATGCACATCAGTCAAAGGGTTACTGGCCTGCATAAAGTCCTGGAGACACTAGAATTATAACAGGACTGGTATGTGCTCTGCTCAAGAGACTGTAAGCCATGAACAGCCAGAGCATAACAGCACAACTCTGACAACATTCCCCACCTTTCTGGCATGCAATAGGAGTACAGGACAGAAATCAGATCTCTCCAGTCTTCTGTGCTTCCCATGAGTCCTGACCCTCAACTAGATACTTTCTGCTATTGCTACTCACCTTAATGAACTCATCTTAATGTGCTTATCTTAATGCATGAAGCTTAAGCTGAGTGGATACTCTCCCTACCCAGAGATGTCTGACAACTATCAGAGGTGTTTATTCAAATACAATACAAATGTTTGCATGTCATGCCAAGCTCAGGACTCAGTATTTCATATTTAAATTAAGTCATTACCCAGTTCAAAGGAAATTAAAGAGGTCATTATGGAAATGAAGCCCTACCCACAGACACATAAAGAACCCTCCTCTTACGTGGAATAGACAGTGATGCCTTCCCTCTCCTCAATCTTAATGTTTTCATCGCTGGGAACTGGAGGGCTGCTCTGGAACTGGTTTGGAATTCGGAACCAGACTTTTAATTTCTTCTGTAGGGAGCCATCTTCACTGGGGAACACAGCAAAGGAAACAGGAACAGTTATTCCCATTCCAATTCCTGAAAACACAGAAACACAGTGTGGTAGATGTCAGAGACAACTGGCTCAGGCCTGTGGGATGTCTAAAGGTTTCATTCTTGTAAGACAATATTTTTTGTTATTGAAATGAACAATAAAAATTTCAGATACAGGAGATCCAAGATGGCGGTGGAGGCAGAGACAGCGTGGTGAGCTGCGGGAGCAGCGAACCACTTAAAGCAGGGCCATTATGGCCTTTCACAGACTT